ATAATTTTGATTGTGTTGTGGTAGTGTGTACTCTATGACATATTTTTGTAAATTATTGTAACAGTTTTATATTTGTAACCGTTTTGTAACCGTTTTCGTGTAAGTGGCCTTTGTTGCCGAGCACGTAAATTTTCAATAAAAAAAACTATTGAACTTGCTCTATTAATGATGCTAGACACATTTAGCAAATTTCATAGAATTCTATGACTTAAACTATCCCAGAAGTTCAATGTATATTGCGTTTCCATCGAAATTATTTACAAAATAGACGTTTGAAAACGGGGTATGATTTTTACTTATAAACAATAATTGTAATAACTTCAATATTTTTCAAGCTACAGACTTGTACGTAAAACCACTGAATAGCTGGTAAAAAAATTCATATTTAAAAAAAAATTTCTGTGACCAATTGGAACAAAGTTGGGGGCTATTTTTTAAAAAAATCATATCTTCATTATTTATAAACATTAAGAAGTAAAATTTGCACATATTTTAGTTGAAAATCTAAACTTTAGACTGAAACTTATAGCTATAAAATTCATCCAATTTTTCGAAATTTCGAAACGAAGATACTTTGGAAGCTAGAAGCCTTTTTTCGTTTTATCTGGGGTAGCTCGTTGAAATATAAATTAATACATAGGTAGTTTTCACTGGCCGAGAAATATGGGAAACTTCGGAAAAATTGAAAAGTCCGTTTGAAATTTACCGCAAAAATGAACTTTTCGTTTAATTTAGCTGGAATAGTGTGCCGCAGTATAAATAATGATGAGATAAGTCTCAAAAATTTTTGAAAATCAAATAAACAACATATGTTTTTTTTTTCAAAAATCAACAAATTAATAAGTATAGATCAATACTTATATATTTTATAAATTAAATTCCAGGTAATTTTTACACTTTATCTTACTATATTTAATACGTACAATACGAGGACGGTTAACACATTTATTTATGTTTTTAGATCTCAATATCTCAAAAATTCACAGAGTATACCGTCCTCGTATCCCTACATTTTATATGTATTCAGGTGAATTGAAGAAAGGTCATCTATATAATAGAAAACCGGTAATATATCTTAGTATGCGTAAAAAAGGCGGGATGAGTAGCAGCTGCCACGCTACAACATTTCGTCAAAATAGTCCCTAACTTCGTTTCTGGTGGTTATAGAATTTTTGTTTATGAAAGTTTTACCAGTTATCCAATGGTTGTACGTACAATTCTGTAGCTTAAAAAATACAGAAGTTATTACAATTGCTTATAAGGAAAAACATACCTCTTTTTCAAACGTTTATTTTGTAAATAATTTCGATGAAAACGCAATATTATGCATTTAACTTCTGAAATAGTTTAAGTCTTAAAGAATCCTATGAAATTTGGTAAATATGTATAGCATCACCAATAAAGCAAGTTCAATAGTTTAAATATTTAGCCTCAGTGATAAATAAATTAAATAACTTTTAAAATATTTATAAGGTCGGAGGGAAATTACGCACAAATTTAAAAGACTGTAATTCCTCGATGATCCAATATATTTTTTATTTTATTTTTTTTTTAATATAAAAATTAATCAAAATTATAAATTAGTGCAAAAAAACTGATTTTTTGCAAATATCTCCGTAAATTATTTAATAATTTTAATTTAAAAAAGCGGAAAAATAAAGATATTTTTGACGTAAAAAATAATAAAAATATTTTTTATGTAAAATATAAGGGAAAAACTTATAGACAAAAAATCAAATTGTGACCATAAAATTATTGTTTAAAAAAACGCAAGGTGAAAATACGAATACTTTTCCATCTATTCCTCATCTAGTAACCCCCACTTATGTCTTAAAAGCTCCAGATGTCTTTAAAAAATTGTTCGACCTTTTTTTTTAACCAGACTGGGCTATATGTATACAGCTAGAGGAAGGTGTATCTAGCGAGAGAATTTAAACTGCAGACACAGATCATCAAAGATAATAGTGAAAAATCATATCATTTATGTGGGACCCCTCCCATGTCGGAATAACTGGTAATGAGGTGGCAGACAAAACAGCATTTCAGCAAAAAACAATATGAACATTCCGACTACAACAGGTATACTAATATCAGATGTTAAAACTTTATTCAAGACTATGTAAACAAAATCTGGTAAGAAATATCGAATCAAACAAACACAAATTCTAAGAGCATCAAACCAGACATATCTTCAAAAAATCTTCCTATACCACCAAAAAGAAACGAACAGGTAATTATCAGTAGACTCCAGATTGGGCATACACGAATTAGGCATGGCTACATAATCTCCAAAGTACCAATGATGCCAAACACATACGCTAGGGGCGTAACCTGTGAAGAAAACTTTGAAAACCAGTTTTTTAAGAAATATGCCCAATTATACCAAGTGTTAAATAAGTAAACTAGAAAGACGCCTAAATTCTGCACAAATTTGTTTAAGTACTTTTTTTATTTTTTCAAATAAAGGGTGGGGGAGAGTAAGGAAGTATTTGTGGATAAATACCTATACCTTTGGATTGGGTTAATTGATTTTAACGAAATTAGTGTCATTAGAAAGAGTGTAGATAAATTAATTTAAATCTTCTATAAAATAATTGCATTTAGTTTTAATTGTCATAGATAGAGGGTACTTTCAAATAGAAAAAATTAAAATTTGTTTTTCTTCAAAATGTTTAATAGGAACACCTATTTATTGTAAATTATAATGAAACTGGATTACATTCGTAACAAAATGGTGCAAAACCGCATGTTAATAGCTTTTGTCGAATTCGAGATATGAATAAAAACACATAAACATAAGTAAGTATATTATTGACTCACCATGTATTATATATTAAATTAATCAATTTTTTTTTATAGCAGAAGAATCTTAAAGTTGATACCTATTTTGACCATTGTTATTTCATATGATTAAAAATAGTTGTTCCGAAACTAAGTAGGCTACGACAATGAATTTGACGGGGTTGCCTCCTGTGTATATTCTGTAAGATATCCTGATAGGAGACATTGTGGCAAATATTTGAAAGAAAGACAAAAGATGAGAAAGTGAAAGTGGTAGTTTTCATCGTCCTTTCTAAACGACGTAGTTAGAGATATGACTGAAAATAATTCAATCAATGTTCTTGCTTTAATTCAACAGAATCCACATATAAGTAGTCGGCAAATCTCTATAGAATTACACATACCCAAAACTACTGTTCTAAGGATTTTAAAACATCACAGGTTGGTTTTTCATATTATAAAGTGAACGTTTAGGTCAGAAACTTAGAATTCTCTTTAAACTTTAGATTCAACTGTTATTTTAATATTCCGATAAAAAACGCAACACGGCGCTTTTATCCTTTTATCCGTTTTTTAAAAATACTCATGCACGATTTATCTTGTGAAACAATTGTGGATTATTTAAGATTTTTTAAATTTTAGTAAATATAGTGGTTTTTTTTTCATCACTATTTATTGTTCTGTTTTTTAGACTGCATTATTATCATGTAGTTCTCCACAAATCTTTACATGAGAGAGATTTTTATGCAAGGCTGGATTACTGCAATTGGATGGTAGGTGTGCTTAGAAGAACAAGCGCATATCATGTCAAAGATTTTGTGAACAGACGAGGCTACGTTTAATAGTGCGGATGGTGTTAATCTGCATAATTTGCATTATTGGGCTGAAGAAAATCCGCAGTGCATACATGAGGTGCAGGTTCAAGGTAGATGGAGTCTTAATGTTTGGTGTAGTATAGTTGATGGAAAGATAATGAGTCCATATTTCTTTGATAGAACTTTAAATTGCGAAACATATTTGCAGTTTCTGGAAAATCAGTTGCCTGTTTTATTGGAAGATATTTTCTTACAAACAAGTAGAGATATGATATTACAACATGACGGGTGTCCTGTGCACTTTTCCAGACGAGTTCGAGATTATTTGTATGTAAGTTATCCAAATAATTAGATTAGAAGGGGAAGTATATTTTCATGGATAGCTAGATCTACAGGCTTAACATGTCTGGACTTTTATCTGTGGGGAGATTAAAGGACTTAGTGTACCAAACTTGACCAATCACGCGAGACGACATAAAACAGCCCATTATAAACGCAATAAATAGTATATCAACAGCTGAGATTGAAGCAGCTGTTACGTCTACGCGCAAAAGATTACATCTTGGTGTGGACATCGATGGAAAACCATTTAAACATTTAATTGGACATTAAGTTTTAATGATCAAGATATTTGTATGATCTTTCACATATTTAATTTTAAGTTATAATAAAAGTCAATACTATACTTACTTATGTTTATGCGTTTTTATTCATATCTCAAGTTCCACAAAAGCTATCAACATGCGGTTTGCGCCATTTTGTTACGAATTTAATCCAGTTTTATTATAATTTACAATAAATAGGTGTGTACATGTAATTGTTCTATAGTAGATGTAAATTAAATCATCCACAAACTTTCTAATGATAATAATTTTGTTATAATCGGTTAATCCAAAACAAAGTTATAGGTATATATCCACACATACTATCCCAGTATCCCCCACCCTTTATTTACAAAAATAAAAAAAAGCTTTATGCGGAATTTAGACCTCTTTCTAGTTTACTTATTTAACATTTGATATAATTGGGTATATTTCACAAAAAACTGGTTTTCAAATTTTTCTTCACAGGTTACACCCCCTAGCGGTTAACCCAACAACTTGAAAGTTATTTCCAGCGATTTATCTTCGCCACTTTTACTAAGGAATTTTTTCTCCAAAAGTTATAACATGGATAGTTTCTGATATATAGCCGAGAGATCGGCTTATTGGACCACCCGGTACATTGTACCATATTGTTGTAAGTCATGACTTCTCTAAAATGTATCTTATTTTCTCTGTTTGTATCATTAACCTACCTCTAATGACATTAGTGGTTGATGCGGATAAATAAAATACAAAAAAATACACAATCAATTCAAATTTAAAATTTGTAACCATTATACAGTATGTTCGAAAATTTTAGGTGTAGATGATACAGTCCATTCTAAAACCGAATCAGAAAATTCACTTTCAGAACACGAAAGTGTATCAGCAGATATACCAGGACAAACATTGAGATATATATCTAGAGGTAGAAATTTGCGTAAACGTCCAGGTAGAAGTAGGGGATCATTTAAAAAATCAGGTAAATACCAAAAACTACGTATATTATAAAAATATAGTTGTAACTTACAAAAATGCTTTGAGTGAAATATAAAATAAAAAATAGGTCAATCAAAAACAATATAAATTTTTTTGTTTGGTGTAATTATAACTGAGAAAAGTAATTTTTAAGATTTAAAAATTTTAATAATGTCTCTATCACAAAAGTTTAGGTTGAATGACGATAAAAATGCCACATAATATTTAGAATGTATTTTTAATGTACTTTACAATTAAATTAAATGTTCAAAATAACCAACATTCATTTCTTGACAATAACCGAGGCGATTTTGGAATTCTTATCTATAGCCTTGATTTTTTGTAAAACTGTTGTATTATCTCTAAAGGCGCGTCCACACTGGAGCAACATTTGGCAACCCGTAGCAATTTTATGTTGCAACAAGTTGCTAAATGTTTAATTTATTAAACTTTTGACATAAAACAAACTGTCCTCACTAGTGCAACAATGTTAATGAATGTTTGAACTTGTTAAATCACAAATTTGGTTGAGTACAACATTCTGTCCATACTGCTGTAGTTTTGTGACATGATGGAGGAAGACTTATTAACTACTACCGCGTGCTTTCTAATTTTGTGTGGTGATTCACGAAAACGGAAGCGAAAATGTTGGGTCCGTCCAAGTTTGAAGAAAAGGGAAAAATATGGTGGAAAGGAAATATTATCGGATTTAAAGAAAGATGACGTTTTATTAGAACTTCGAACCGATGGGTGCTTCAAAAATTTTTTGCGCATGAGTAGTTCACATATGGAATTTTTGCTGCAAAAAATTGCACCAGTGATAAGAAAAGCAGATACTAACTGTAGAAAGGCTATACCTCCACAAGAACGATTAGCTGTAACATTGCGCTTTCTGGCAAGTGGAGATTCCTACAGCAGCTTGATGTATTTATTTAAAATTTCGAAACAAGCTATCTCAAAGATAGTACCAGAAGTATGTGCTGCGCTAGTAAATGCAATTAAAGACCAAGTTAAGGTAAGTAAACTTTATTGTACTTTTTTATTGATAACTTTAGAAGTTTTACATGTTACTTAATTGAAATGCCTCTGCGAGAATGTTTGAGGAACCAAAAGCAGTAGAGGAGTCTGAAGAGTTTTGTATGTATGTCTCCGCTGGTGATATAGCTGGTGTGCTGCAATACGATGAATGTGATTGTGGTCTCGTGGAAGGTTACATTGATAAAATTGGCTCATATGTGTTAGTTGATTGTGGCATTCCATAATCATATTTACCCATACTTGCATCGAACAAAATATTACATATAAGATGTTCTACAATATTTTGTGCGCAGGTGGTATTCAAATCCCTAATTTTACACGCCATATGTTCTCCAAATACATCGAATTTGTCTCGCTGTCGTTTATTTTGTATGTCTTGAATTATTTTATATGCCTCTTCTTTTCGAGCGTTATCATCGATTTTTCTTGTAAGTGTTTGTGTGACACGTCTAGTTTTATTAGGGTGTTTAAATTCATCAAGATTTGTGCTGTTCGGATTTTCCACGGTTTTTTTACGAGGCTCTTGAGAGGACTTGTTAGATGCCGAAGGGTTCTCACAAGCAGCGTTAGATGTTGATGGGTTTTGAGAACCATCGTTATACAAGTCTTTCATGCCTTCGTTGCCATTTTCTGCATCTTGAAATTCTTGGGTCTCATTTCCACCTTCATCACAATCTGTTACTTGTGAATCATCTAAATCCGTTTCGGAGGAAGAGTCATTAAGGTCATCCTGAAAATAAAAATACATTGTATAAAATGTAAACACTACAAATAGGAAAACGCCTAATATTACAGTGATCTACATTTTTAGCATAAGTAATGATATCTTTGTATTTCAGATGCCTAAAACTGCTCAAGAATGGGAAACAATTACTAATGATTTCAGTGTTCTTTGGAATTTTCCAAAATGTGTAGGCGTCATGGATGGCAAGCACATTGCAATACAAGCACCAAAAAACAGTGGAAGTGATTTCTTCAATTACAAAACGTTTTTTAGCATTGTTTTGTTCGGCGTAATGGATGCTAATTACCGATTTTTGTATTTTCATGTAGGCTCCCAAGGGAGAATATCTGATAGAGGAGTTTTTGAAAATACATTATTCAAAAAACTATTAACTCGCTGCAAACTCAACCTTCCAGAAGATAGCTCTTTACCAGGACGTGAGAAATTAGTCCCTCACGTATTTTTAGGGGATGATGCCTTCCCATTATCACCAAATTTACTTAAACCCTACCCTGGGGCGCAGGACAAAGGGTCTCCCAAAAGGATATTTAATTACCGCCTCAGTAGAGCGAGAAGAATATCAGAAAATGTTTTTGGAATGTTATCTTCGATTTTTAGAATATTTAGAAAACCCTTACTTTTAGAACCAGAAACTGCAGAATTTGTTGTTATGGCTTGCATATACTTGCATAATTTTTTAAGGAATAGTTCAAGATCTAAAAATTCCTACAATCCTCCAGGTACATATGACGGTGAAGATAAAGATACAGGACGTGTTTTAGAAGGATCGTGGAGAAGAGAAACTCAGAGTAATACATTTACTTCATACAAGAAAGTTGCACGAAATGCATCAACTGAAGCAAAAGATATTAGGCAAGAGTTTGCAGATTTTTTCGTTACACCTGTGGGGATGGTGCCGTGGCAGAATAATTATTGAATTATAATTCATGTATAAATTGAAATTGCCTATTTATTTGTTTCAATAATTAATAACAGAAAAGTTAATATCTAAAAACATTGTGTGTTTACTTACCACGTTCTCAGCTTCACTTTCCTTGCATGGGCGGACTTTGTTTTTGTCTAGAAGAAATATTAATGCATCGTAGGCAAACCACTTGGAATGAAACTGAGCGCCTGCTCCAGATTTTTTCATGCTGCGATATTTTTTTTTCTCTCTATAAAACTGAGCCACCAAATTACGGATTTTTCTTTTTGCCTCTTCCTGAGATAAGCACCCTACAGCTGAACAAACTGCATTCCATGCATCATTTTTTGATTCTCTGCATTTATATTTCACATTTTTAGGATTCCAAATACATGGATGTTGTCTATAATTGTCAATTAAATTTAAACAATTCTCCGAAGTCCACTTAAACGCCATCACTAAATATAGACGCGGCGGTTTGTCTACTGTCTAGTCACTAAATTTGCAACAGGTCTCAACTCGCAACAATCCGTCCACATGGAAGCAATGTTGACAAATGTTTCACTTTGTTTCATATTATCCTTTGATCTTTACCGCTAGAAACGGATTTATACAACATACTACAACTTGTGTTGAATCGCAACACCAACTTTATGCAACGCAACACAACATATTCCAACAAATATAAACATTTTGTGTTGTAACAAGTTTTTGTTGGATTATGTTGGAAAATGTTGCTCCAGTGTGGACGCGTCTTAATACACCAGTAATATGCCAACAACTAATATACATTATTAAAGATTTTTATTTAAAAGTGAGATTTAAATCGGATGGACATATTGTATATGTGGTATTTGTTTTAACCTCGTCCTTGATACAGAAGCTTGGTCATCGCTATTATAATCTCTAAACTTAAATCTAATAAGACCAGGTCTAACAAAGCATTATTTTTAGATACTACGGAAAGTGGTCAGACTCAAAACACGTGTGAATATTCGACGTCCATTCAACTTTTATCATCTAAACAGGAACATGGTTTAGGTCAACACCTAGAGCTTCTGAAGAACGAAACAGGTAATTATTAAGAATAGAGTTCTGTTAATTAATTTTGTTTCTATAAGAATATAGCAGAGCATCCAACTAGATGAGAAATACATCAAACTTATTGCCAAACTTTATTGGAACCAGACAGCTATTATTAATACCAACAACAGAGAATCAAAGCCAATCAGTATTGAACGAGGCATAAGACAAGTCTGTATACTATCTCCCACGCTCTTTAACGTGTATTCTGAGAATCTATTTAGGGAAGCTTTAAAAGATCAAAAAGGAATTATCATAGGAGGAGAAATAATTAACAATATACGGTACGCCGACGATACTGTGATTCTAGCTGAAAACATCGACGATCTGCAGGAACTAATCAATAGATGTTTTGCTGTTTACAAAAAAATCTATATTTTATCGTTTTCTTTATCTCCCTTAATCTGTAGATTATTCGTCGCTGTCCATTCTTACAATATTTTCCTTGGACTTTTCTTGTTATTTCGCTGTTTATCTCCTTCCCCGTCCTACACTACGAAAAGAGTATAAGGTGTCTTATTTAAAAAAATGTATGGTGAGAAGTTGTTAAATACTCTGTAGAATAATGCAAAGCCCAATATTATAAGAAGAAGAATTGAGAGAAGGATAAATCTGAGAAAATGTATAGGGTGTCATATTTAAAAAATTGTATGTTTTCTATACTATGTAGTTATTAATCACCCACCGTAAGTCTAATATAAAAGATACACTTAAGTCATGGCCCTTATTCTCCGTAGGCTCAAATGACTTAGAACTAGGTAGCTTTTGGGATCAAGCCTTTAGTGCAAAGGGTGCTAAGAATCTGCGAGTCCAAACTACTACCCAAATAAACGAGCAACGCTTTAGATAGCGACATAAAACTGCCGCTCGCTATCAAATTAATCTAGACTAGAACTAGAAAAACAAAGCCTGATAATATAAAATGAGACGTCATAGGAATCAGCAAAATAAGATTAAAAGATGAAGAGCTATTGGAATTAGCGTCAGAAAAGACATTCTACTACAGAGGAACAACGGACAGAACAATCAGTATTACATTTCTTATCAATAAGTAAGGAAATCGAAGAGTAGTAGAAATAACTAGTATCTCTGATTGAGTCTTAACCTTATAATTATTAAAGAAATTCAGTATATAAATTATACAAATATACACATTAATGATTACTCACACTGGCGAAAAAATAGAGGAACTCTATGGAACAAGTCATGGGAATGTATAGAGTCGGTGAGAGAAATGAAAGCGGAGGAAGACTAGTTGAGTTTACACACTATTTTCTTCTGCACCTATATCATGGCTTAATCTTTATAGAAACTGGTATCGTATAGTATTTTGCAGTCTCGGTGAATATCCACGTCAATTACCTAAGACGTTGAAACACGCTAATAAAAAAGGCGCAGGTAGTAATCCTACTATTCTTGTTTTTATACTGTCTTTTTAATTTTTTATATAATATTTTTACAAATTTCAGAGTCACCTACTGCTGAAGAATCAAAAAAACCAACATCACAAAATACTGCAAAGATTGATACAATCAATAAAAAGGAAACCATGGTGCCCGATGTCGATAGAGATCTAGTAGGACCAAGCACCAAAAAAATTGCAAGTAACCCGACCAATGAAAAGATCATAAATAAAAAGATATTGGAAAAAGCTATAATTTTTTTTAAACAAAAGCATGGGCCAGTGAATGATGTTTTCGATTTAAAGGTAATTAATAATATTTCTCTAAATTTTTTAGGTGATAAATATTACCTCGAATGCTTTTTGAGCAAATTAAATAGTTTACCCGACCGGGTGACTACTAGCTAATAAAAACAAAATATTAAGGTAACGTTTAAAGAAGTAGAAATCAAATCCTAATAGTGTGATTACAGATATTTTATATGAATATATATATATATATATATATATATATATATATATATATATATATATATATATATATGTATGTATATATTATTGTGATATTTAAAGTCTTGGTGCGCCAAGCAATAAATAGCTAATTAAATTTTTTTATTAACTAAAATTATTTAAATGATATGATTATGACTCTATCACAATTTTTAATTCTTTTATCTCAGGGTTAAATTCGTGCTTCAATATCTATGCTATTACATGTGAAAGGTAAGGTCCAAAGAATACCGGAATAATAAAAAACACATATGATCTAACACTATAATTGAAATAAAAATAATGAAATAATTCACACTCAAAAGTTTTCAGTAAACAAAATCTCATATAATAATTCTCAAAATTTTGTTCTACGTACGTGAACAATCAAAATTAATGGTACAAACAATATTAGTTGAAATCTCAAAATCCAAGTATTACTCTAAATCTCCTAATCAAAATATTTATATCCTTTCTAAATTAAGTGAAAAAATTGTGTTATCAATGAAAGAAAAACTGCAAAAAAAAACAAAACTATCTCTCTCTGATGATGAGTGGTCCAAATCCTTGTTATTTGTAGACTATACTATTTACTCGTGGCCGCTCCCTAAGTAATCAGCAATCTTACAATAAATTGTTGCAAGTATATTGTCCTTAATGATCTCCTTCAAAAGCACAAATCATTCAAATTATGATAGCCTTTCTCCTCTCGATAAACTGAATCTCTCGTTGGCCCGAGTGAAAAATGACTCTTGGAATATCTTCTCTTTACGATAAACTGAATCTCTCGTTGGCCTGAACAGTGACTCTTGGAATATAAGTAGAAAAATATGACTTACAATATTTTGCTGCTTCAGCTTCTGTCAGATACACTAACTCCACAAAAACTCACTAACATTCAACACTACTGCTTGCTACTTCTCGGGAACCGCCAGAGAACAATCACTGTTCGTCTTACAGACTTGGAAAACCAACTGATCATCTTTTCTCTCTCCTAAATCTAGCTAAACTTTCATTTCTACATATCTATCCCACCTTTTTTTAATCTCCGCCAATCAAAACTCGTCACAATTCCCCATTCTTTCATTCCGATGACAAACAAACAAATTTTTACCTATAATTATAAAATTTCCTAAAATTTATTTACAAATAATATTTTTCTATAATTCTTAAAAACTAACAAAAACATCTTTCCAAATCTCTTCTATTGTCTATAATCACTGCGTTAATGTATTTGGAAAACCCGGTTCAATTGTTCTTTGGATTTCACTTAAAATTATGCGGGTCACTCAAGTATAGTATAACAAAAGAAATAATTTATGCATAGTACATTTTGTTTAATACAGGTAATCCAAAAATTTTAAATACTTTCCTTCTTCGAAATGTTTGTTGGGTATTATCCTACTTATCTGAATTATTTTAATGTTTTGAATTTTGAAATATTTTAAACGACAAATATTTTTCTCGATTTTACATATCATAACAATATATATATATATATATATATATATATATATATATATATTATATATATATATATATATATATCTCGCACTGCAAGAATACAAGTGGCGCGACTCAAAAACTATCGTTTTAGAGAAATCGCTGTTAAAGTTTGCTCCTTTTTTTCTGAATTAATTACAGAACTACTGTATAATCCAGCTCCTTCTTTATTATTGTATTGATTGACAAAAATATTTACTTTTGTGATACCCTCCCGCAAGACTTAAAATATAATTTTTTTGGAAAATAGTACCAAAAGCTTCATCCTCTTTATAAGAAGTTTTGTACTGAAATGAATCTAAGTTAGACTTTGTAACTTTAATTATTTTGATGTCAGTGAAGTTAATTGTAGATTTCTGAGTATTAGTGGTAAAATTGTTTCCTAGCAGATTGGTAAAAGAATAAAAATTGTAAAAATCTTTGTGACACAACTCAGTTACATCAAAAAAAGGAGAACTGTTTTTTGAGTCCTCAATAATTTGTGCGTATTGGGCTGGAATATAAATGGGGCCTTTCACAAGGGACTTTTTTACTTGTTTTTCAATTATTGAGTGAATAGCGTCTCCCTCATTTTGTGTATGGCCCTTTATTAAAAATTTATGAGTTATACTTCTTAATCTAGGGATGACACGAAGAGCGTAGTTATAGAGGCCAATTATGTATTTGTTTTTGTTCTGACCTAGGCAATTGTCAGAATAGAAAATAACATCAAAATCCGTTTGCTTCTCCACTGCCTTTTTCTTCAGGAACATCAACAGACATGGGGCCAATTTATTCGTTCCCCTATTTGCTTCCCCTTCATGCCAAAGGTAGCAGTAAGCCTTCATATTGTTCAGTTCACATATTGTAAAATTATATGTCGCAACTTTATTAATATAGTAAAAGATGGAAATGTCTCCTCGTAGAATTGGCAGAACAGCTTGCAGATCATAAACTGCTACTACAAGCTCTTCTGAAGCCCTTTTTTATTACAGTCTTTTTCAGTCCTGGATAAATTCTTTTCCTGTAGATGTTGATGGTATCTCACATCTTGTTCCTTTTGTTCTGAAGTCTTATTTTTATAAGCTTCAAAGTATTCATATTGGTCTTTCTTCGGAACAAATAGGGAAATGTTGAACTCCGTGTTAAAAATGTGCCGAAACATAGAGTATTTGACAAACATTTTACCTTCTTGTTCACATTGAGATTTATAGTCTCTGTACACATCTACGATAGTCTTACTACCATCAATAAATTCCCTTGTTTGTTGACGAAGGTAATGGCTTTCAATACGAGGGATATTTTGAATAAAGTTCCCAGCTTCCAATTTCAAAGCAGATCCAATTTTTTTGGATTAACTCCAACTTTCCCTCTCAGATCAAGTTGAAGCTCTCCAGAGTCTCCCTTTTTGGAAATTGTGGTTCTAATTATCTTATCTGAGATTCCTAATGTTGCTATAAAAAAGGCTTTACAAACCCTAACTCCACTGGGCCAAGAAGGAGTAGTAAAATAATACGCGCTATTCTTTGCTCTACTGTTTCCATATCTGTACTTAGGATTAATTTCTTTAATGCATTGAGCTACAAAGTACCGTTGCTTTTCAATGTTACCAATAGCACTAAAATTTTTAAAAGTAATGTGACGTTCGGCAAACTTTCTTACGTTCTAAAAAATCAAACATTTCCTCTATACTTACGAAGCAAGGTATATAACTCCTGTATCATACCGGTGCTCACCTACGCAGCACAGACATGGACATTTACACAGGCCAATTTGGATAGGATAAGGAAGGCACAAAGAGAGATGGAAAGACAAATGTTGGGTGTATCACTTAGAGATAGAAAACGTAACCAGTGGATCAGAACCAGAACAAAGATAGTAGACGCGATAGAACAAGCAGCAAAACTAAAATGGAAATGGGCTGGACACAACGAACGTCTCCAAGACGGACGATGGAACAATGCCATCGGAAAGTGGCGTCCATACAATGCAAAGAGATCCAGAGGCAGACCACAGATGAGGTGGAAAGATGACATCAGGAATCAAGGAGGTCCCACATGGCAGAGAACAGCTCAAGATAGGGAAAGACGGAGAGAACTGGGGGAGACCTATATCCAACAATGGAAGGATAGAGAATAGGTTAAAAAAAAAAAATGTGACGTTCAGCATCAGTTATTTTCGTGTTACATTGAAGTCTGCAATTCGCACCTCATGGGGGTTTCATGGTTCTCGCAGCGACGATCTTTTTTCTTTTCGAACTTGAATTTTCCATTTCGTTGGTTGGGGAATCACCTTTTTAAATTTTCGGCGTGGTGGTTCTTCTCGCTCTCTGCTGTCGTCTGATGCATCAGTGTATTCCACTAGTGGCTTAATCAATACTTCTTTTCGACTCCCTGTAAAAGAACACGCTTTAAAAAACAGCTAAAAAAAATAAAAAAATATTACAAGAAATTTTTACCCAACTAGCGGCTGAATTATAAAAAAGCTGAATGTGTTTTTGACTTTTTTCCTATCGACATGTATTTATGCTTAAAAATATTATTATATGATAACACAAAAAACTTAACGTGAACTTGACATAATATTCACATGAAAGGTAGGATGAAACAAACATACAGGTGAACATCGACAACTACATACTCAATAACACATACTAAAAAAAAGTAAATAAAAATCGTATTTTCATCAGAATAATACGTATAAGCAAAATTTCAATCTGTCTGGATCACAGGTAAACTTAATGATAAAATCGACATACAGATTTGTAAAAAACAAAAAGACAACAAAGCAGGTTAAATAAAAGATGTCAAAAATAAACATATTAGGACTCTACTTACTACTTATTGTGGACTCATTAACTTCAGAATCGTCATCACAAGTGATGTCAGGAATGTATTCTGGATCAGCATCAGAATCGTCACTGTTGTTGATGTACTCTAATTCCAGCGAAGTTTCTTAGGGTTATTGTTTAATTTACTTGTTTGTGAAGGTTCCGGTAATTCGTCATCTTTTTTATTAGGCAATAAACTTTCGTTGAGGTTAACTATATTCAATCCCTCGAAATCAGCAGATGTTATGAAGCTACCAACCTCAAAATCAGTGGGAAAAGCTGCCCAAATTTTTCCATCCCCATGTGAATAACTACTCGGTTTCATTTCCTTATAACTATGAGCAGGAACAAATGTACAAATTTCTCCATTCCCTTGCGAACATCTATCTGGCATTTTATTAATATTATTTGGTTGTACTAAATTCATAATGCGCTTTGTTCTGAATGACATTATATAGCTGAATTAAAAAGTATGATTTTACTACATTAAAAGACTGTAGCAAAAATAAAAAGGTAAAATTATACATTAAATTCAGACACACAACCCGAAAATACTATGGGCTTAATTCAAACTGTGTACTTACCATTTATGTTAAAATAGACGTATTTCGAAATGGGCCTGTTGTAAACTATGCTTTCCCTTCGAAATCACGGAACACATTGAGAAATTTGACATACGCCTCTCGCATCCCCCCACCTGTTAACTTGCTTACGATTTTAATACAGCGATTTTCGCTTCTCTAGCAGAAAATATTGGGACTATAAAAGAGCCCATTGTAGCATCAGGTAGAACTCATTTTAAGGGATGTCACTATGAGATTAATTAAAAAAGTTAGATTTTTGAGTTGCGCCACTTGTATCCTCGCAGTATATATATTCTTTTTTCAGCTTTACCCTTCGGAAAAGTCGAAGGGTAAAGCTGAAACTTTATCTATCTTAATCTTAATCTATCTACTATCTTAACTCCTCTGCCACACAGTCCTTCCATTATCTCCAAAGTTTTTCTCTACATCTCCGTCCATCAACTTTTTACACGTCTATCCCTCGTTTAACATAGTTTTCATCTTTACGTCTGACTTGATCTACCTATTGCAGTGTTTGTTCTTAAATCTTATTTGAAACTGTAGTTACACCGGCTCTTTCACCAATCTAGTTGTTTCTGATCCTTTCTTTCAGTCTTACCCAACATCCACCGTGTCCCCGATTTTTTTATTAAAAAGTACCCTGCTCATTCGCTTCCAGTTAAACCAATCAGCCTGTATCATTATCATTCTGGATTTAAAACCCTGCGTGGGTCCTAACCTCGTCAAAAATGTCTTTCCAGTCGTCCCTATCCATCGCCTTTCTCCACCAAGCACGTCTTCTTCTTCTTACGGTGCCTATCCGTTCCGGATGTTGGCGATCAACATGGCTATCCTAACTTTGCTTGCTGCTATTCTGAATAGTCCGGTTGTCGATGTATTAAACCACTTTCTCAGGTTTTGAAGCCTAGATATTCATCTTCTCCCTGGTCCTCTCTTTCCAAATACCTTGCCCTGAAGAATGAGTTGCAACAAGCCGTATCTCTGTTCATTCCTCATAACATGGTCAAGATATTATTCAGAAATATATTCCATATTTCTCATGTCTTCATCAATGTTATCAAGGAACCTTGTTCTGGCAAGTTGATGATTGATAAAAGTTTTTATGTGATTAACGTTTTAGACTAAATTTGTCAATTCTGGCCTATCCGACAAGAATAAAATATTATAAACTTAAAATTAAACATCACACTATACTACACGAGGACAAACACTTTAAAATTTTGAAACAGGCGAAGCTACATTGTGTACGGAAACCGGAGAGAGAATGGCTCCCGGTCAACGGAAATGTTGAGGTGACATGTGACATATGACAGTTTGGATGGGTAGTCACAATCATGCATATGTGATCTGCACATTTCAAAATTCTATGAAACTAAGCATTCAGCAAAGGTCCAACTGACACTACTACAGGAAGTCAAATGATAAAATATGAAATTATATAGAATATTTTTAAGTAGATTGCATAATCCAGATCTCATTAGGGTGTTAGTTTGAGAACAACTGAAGTCGACGTAAAGTATGAATGCAAGAAATAGATTAAACAATATATTAATGGGTGGTTGACTACAATAAAATGCTCTACCAAGCACTATCAATACTGTGGAAAAGAAGAAATCTGACTAACTATCTATCTATACAGCCCTAAACATCCATCCTTGGATGTAGGCATGATATAAGGAAACAAGGTATGCTCACTAGGTGGACTCGTTTTTGCACATTTCTGCGCCGACCAAAATCCACCATCTTTTAATATGTCACATGCGTGTAGGGATGGTGACCTGATCCCGTACCAGTTACTTTGGAACATGTATTTTATTTATACTTGTGGAACTTATCCATAACACCAATATATTTTAATGAACGAGTACAGGTCATGGACGTATAAATAAAGATCTTTATTTATACGTCCATGGTACGGGTACTGTACTCATAGTAAGTGTAAGTGAGCATACCTGACCTGATCCACAAAAATACTTGGATCAACCACCTATACATGCGTGACGTCTGATTTGTTTACTTTTGCATTTTTAACCTTACTTTGCAATGTGTTGGAATTTAAAAGTAAATGTGTTTTTGTTTTGTTTCGATTTTTTAAAAATTATTTTAGCAAGTGTCTGTTCAGATCATTCTAAATATGAATTAATTGGATTAATGTATAATATTAATTTTATTTTATTTAATTTCACTACGATATTTCGTATCAATTTTGTACATATTTGAATTGCCGCCTTCAAAATGGCGGATTTTGGTCGTAAACGCGATTGGCTGTTCAAAAAAGATGCGCGTGAGCATACCATGTTTCCTTATATCATGGATATAGGCCTCCTCCTCCTTCTTCCATGCCTCTTTATGTTGAGCAATTTGCATCCATTTTGACCCGGCGTGTTTCTTCAGGTAATCTGACGATCGCATTTGTGGCCTTCCCCTTTTTCGTTTGTGATTACATGGTCTCTGACCAAATCTCTATAAATCTGACTATGTAATTAAAATACTAAAAATTAAAAATCAAAATTGAAATCAAAAGTATATAAATGGGGTATAATCCAAGTATGTAGTTCAGTTGAACCCACAGTTAATGGAAGAACTATAAAATTAACATGTCAAAGCGTCACTCAAGACCAATTGACCAACAGTGGGAGATGTTGAAATATTTGACTGTGGAGACGGTATATCTAAATTACAAAGAGGTTTGGAGAGTGTAAATAACGCCAACTATAGATCAATTGAATCTGAGGAAGCTTGTTTTGTAAATTATTGAAGAATAAAATGGTAATGTTGATCAAAGTATAAAATTAATAAATTCTTAATGGATATACTCAGTGCAGAAAGTCTAAACAGCCGAGCTGGGTCCCCTACGAGGTGAAGGTGTAATAAAGTTTTTAAAAATAGGTTTAAATTTAGTACAATTTAAACTAATTTAAGTATTAAGACAGTGAGAGTTTCCATTTGTTTCTTTTGTAATCTCCAAATCATCCAATAAATCCAACTCCAGATAGTTTGTCTTTATACTAAAAAAAAATGTCATGTAAAATAGATGAACCAGTATTGATGTTAAAATTGTGTTTACTGGATAATAAGTGTTCATCAAAACTTGAAGAGTTTGGTGTTTTCAAATGTTCTGAAATTCTAGTGGATAACTTTCTAATGGTTCTACCTATAAAAGAGGCATCGCAATCATCACATTTTAATTTGTAAATACCCCTTTTGTCAAGTGTGGTCATCTTGTGTTTAGTGTTCTATAAAAAGGAACACAAAGTGTTGTGTGACTTGAAGAAAATTTTGATGTTTTAAATTGTAGAAGTAAAAAAATTAGATATTTTACTGAAAATGTTGCTAATATAAGTTAAGGAAAAATTTCTGATGTTATTTAAAGCATTAGGTTGAAAACAACATTGTGATGAATATGTAAGCTTTTCTGCAATTTTGAGCTTAGCTTTATTTAGAAGCTTATAGATAATATTGTTCTTATTAGTAAGTCAGTAACATATAGAGGATACATCATTTATGTTTTTTAAATAACGTAACATATAAAATCAGAATTTTGATGTTTGTTGAAAGTAAACTAAATTCCCGAACAAATACTTACAATGTCGGGATAGTATTATGAGGTTTTTATCCTGATTTTTTCCTGACGGATATTCTCAAGTTAAAGTTGATTTCATGTAATCGAATGAACTATCTTATAAGTAAAGTCGTCCCAGGAGCGCAACTCAACAATATTGGCAATATCATTTTACTGGCTTATTCCCAGTTATAAGTAGTAATTAATTTACAATGCCACAAGAAAATAGCTTCAGAACAATATCATTTTAAAGTCGTCTACTTTAAAATGCATAATGTATGTCTGAATTGTCAATATAAATGAGTCAGATAAACTTAAATTATTAGAAGAATTTTTTACTTTGTATCAGAAAACAAAATTTGTTTATTTTACTGTTTGTATTTTGAGAACGATTTCCGAAGTGGAAATTAAAACGTCAATAAACATATTTTTATCTTTAATTGTGGCTTATTCCCAGTTAAATAGTAATTTACTTATAGATAATGTTCGGATCATAACCATTATTGAAAGCGATTTGCTTAAGAGTATTAAGTTCTAAATTAAAGTTATCATTAGAAAGTGGAAATTTGAGTAACATATGAATCTAACTGTTGCAAGCAGCCATTTTATGTTGGGTTGGATGATTAGATGTTTTATCTATAACATGATTTGTAAAGCAACTTGGCTTGAATCGTAATATTTTAAAGTGTAGAATCTACGGTTTCTTTTTGTACAATTACTTAAGGACCACCCTGTATAGGTGTAAATTAGTTTTATTGCAATAATAAAAAGTTTAAATTTAAAGTGGTAAAATAAAATATTAAAGAAATAAATATTTTTAAAAATTTAGATATCTGCCTAAAGCAAGAATAAAATGCACTTATCGGATAGGCTGTGGGTTCCTGGACTAAAACTCGGTTCCAATATTATTAATTATCCTATTATCGTAATGCCTTAAGTATATTTTAAGTGTTTTTTAGGTGCAACCCACTGGAGGTGTTATGGTATTACCAAAACGATTTCTAAACAGCCAAGCATGTGGTAATTGTTTAAAATACCTTTCAGTTGGACCAGTAACAATATTTAACACCCGTCCATCTACTGTATGCGGTCGAAAAGAATGCGCAGACTATAAAACAAGAATAAAGCCTTTTCCACGGCCATCTGCTTATAACAAAATTGCTAAAAACTATTTTTTTAACTGTGTTAATCATTATGAAGGTTGTACAGAGATTTTTTCTTTTTCTAAAAATGTAGAGGAACATGAATCTTTATGTAAATTTAAGAAACTATACAAATGTTCTTCCTGTTACATTCGGGTGAACGCTTGTCAATTAATTCAACACTATAAACAAAAGCATCCCAATAATTTGGCTTATGAGGGAGTATTTCAGTTAAAAACAAACAAAATTTTATTTTATACAGATCATCAACTTGTGCAAATATCAATTTCATTACTAAATAATACTTTAAACATATCATGCAAGCAACTTAATAGATATTATGTAGTAACCAAGTATAAAATTATAATATTTCATCCTAGTTCCGATATTGAGTTTGTCTCAAAAGTTATTGATATAAATACAAAATCATATTCAATAGATATACGTGACTTGCCAGAATCACTTTCTACATCTATACTTTTTGGAGCAATTAAACTTTATTGTCAAGATCAGGCGAAAGAACCTTTTGCTATTGTACAAAAACCAACAGATGACTTACATACAACACTTCTTAAGACGATTTTGGACTTATATCTTAAGTCAGAAATTATATGTTGTTATTGCCAGAATATTATTGGGTTAAAGACACGTGTGTTATTTTGTCCACAAAGTCACGTGAGTTGCTCTGATTGTATAGAAGATTATTGTGCTATTTGTGAAACTTATTGCGATTGGCTGGATATGGAAAACTTGCTTAGAGATTTTAAATTGACATGTGATTGGAAAAAATGTAATAAGCAAATAAAATGCTTGGATTTTCCTATTCACAAACAAATCTGTTGTAAAAGAGAATACACTTGTCCCGAACTAGGATGTGATTTTAGAGGAACCAGAAAAGAACTTACAGACCATTGGCATTCTACTATTCCATTAATATTTGGTTCAAAAATAATCATTAAGTTACGCCAAAGTTTATACTGGATGACAGATAATTTGTTTGAATTATTGTTAATAAATTTTAAGACTGTTGGAAAAGAAGCTATTTTGGAAGTTGATGAAAGGTTTGCTTGTTTTCAAAACAATTATAAGCTAGAGCTAATGCGCAAAAAAGAAAATGAAAATCATTACAAAAGGTTTGTGACACTTGCACAAAAAGGATCCACTAAAACGTATATATCTCCTCTTTCAACAAATTATATACATAAACTTGTTGTTAAGTTAGATAATCCTGGAATTATAGAAGATGTAACAGAAAATTTTGTATCCATACAGAGAGAAACAGCAGAATCCATTTTAAAACGTCTTCTTAACGTATTTATGAAAGTCAATTTTAAATGTTCAAATTGCAGCACCATTATAAATGAGAAGCCTCACATTTTTATTTGTGAGTACAGTCATATATTCTGCAGTAACTGCTTAGGTTATTGTGTTCGATGTACAAGTGCTAAAGTAATATTCACGCCCCTTGAAATACTACTACAAAATATAAAGTTATCATGCGATTGGCCTGACTGTACAGAAGAAACAGATTGTTGGAATTTTCTTTTACACAAACAGGTATGTTCAAACAGATTATATACATATCCTAATTTAATTAAAGGAATGGATCATTTCTACGATACCAAAGAAAAACTTAAAGAAAAATGGCCCACAAACGGGATAAAATTATCATGTGGCAAAGAGATGGATTTTAAAATAAACTCAGTAGGGAGCACATTGGCATTCTGGTTAACTTCCTACGTTAATGAATTGTTATTGGTAGTTCTTTATTTTGACAAAAAATTATGTTTGGAAGTAAAAGAAAGTTTGGCAATCTTCACTAATAATTACAAAATAACATTGTATGAATATAATGAAATTAGAACGCGGTACGAAGAAGTTGAAGAACTAACCCAGAGAGGAAACAAAAAAATCTCATTAAAAGGTCTAAAAGTTAGTGCAAAGTATAGATTAACGATAGTTAGAGTTTATTAAAAATCCGTATTAGCAAACAAATTTCTTTACTTTGGTATGCCTGTATAGAAAAGAGTGAGGCAAAATGGTTCCTGTAACATTTTTTTATGCTAAAAAAAAAACAGGAAATCATTAAGTATTTTTTTTAAACAATATTTCTGTGAAAAGAGTAGAACATATTTTTAAGGAGCAAAACATATTTCCGGTACCGTTTTACAGCATGGCTAGGGTAAAATGATCCCATCCATGAGTTAAAATGACCCCTACAGTTTGTTTGTACAGAAAAAGTAATAAAACATTGTTAATTACAAAAATGGCAAATATACATACAATTTCTGCTTTCCAGTTACACAAACATACAAAAGATGGCACCATTTATTGCACAAGCTACACTTAATCCAAACCTCCTTCGCCTGCGATGTACAAAATAATCTCGAGCAAAATATGCAGGCGATGTCATCTCCATCATCATTAAATATTTTATTTTCTTCCTTTTTTTTGACGCTGGAAGTTGACTTTGATATTTTGTTTTTCTTTTATCAAAAAATACATTGGTGTGAAGGTAAAAACCTTGTTTATTTGATCAAGTTTATCCTTACAAAGGTCTTGAACTCATTGTCAAAGGAGGTGTCTAAGGTAGTAGAGCTATATCTTCCATTTAACAACATCTTTTTACTTTGAAGTGCCAACTTTTAAAATTGGTATTTAATTATCAATTGCAGAGCTTGTAATGTCAACTTTATCATTTAAAACAACAACTTTCGGATTTGAAGCTGCATTGGATAAAGTTTAATTTTCTGATAATCCCTCCGGACTGTTTCTAAAAAGGTAATATCATCCGAAGATTGTCCATTTACTTTCCATTCCCATCACTTGTCTGATGAAGATATAAGTATTATGATTTGATCTTTTTTTTACAAGTAAAGGACGTAGAAGAGAAAAGGTATATCTTTTTTATTTTTCTTCTCTTTATAGGTAAAGAACTTGAAAGCAAAGAAGTTTTCTTTGTGGAGAAGTAGTTCTTGGTTGATAAATAGGATCAACGGTTTCGTCTTTCACTATAAGTCAATCGGTTGTACACAATGGTTTAAATTTATAATCTGGGAATATGTTTGGAATAAAAGTATATATGCATGTTGTCTCGAATTTACTGAGTCTGTTGTTAAGTGTGGCATCTGTTCGATCTGATTTTTCAAACAAGTTAGCTAAATTGTACAGAGTTACGACTTTTCCAGGGTTAGTTTTGAGTCATAAAATAACTTCTTCATTAAAATACGCCATTAGGGCTCTATTTTCAACTAAGCATTGTGTATATTGTTAAAAATGATTTAAGAACAGAATGAAGGTGTCAGATTTTATGTATCTAGATTAGTTGTAAAGAGAGAGTAACCCGTATGTGGCGCCTTGATTCATTCCTTCGTTTGCGAGGAAATATTATTACTGGAGGATTGAATTGACCTGCAGCATTTACACAAAGAACAATGGTGACATTGTATCTCCTTTTTGACATTGTCTGGATACTAGATTCATCTATATTATTTATTCTCCTAAGATTGATGTTATTTTTATTTTGTCATTTCAAACGAAACAAATTAAAGCCTCTCGCTCTGGTGGCTGAGTTAGTCTCGTGAGTTCTAAAAGGAATCTCTGTATATTTGTTTAAAAAATCTTTAAACCAAACAGTTTCAGCTAACTTTTTGTTTTTAGAAAAACTGTATTTAATACCGTTTCTCTCCGAAAGCTCGTAGACTATTTCACAAATGTTTTTCTTCGTCATGACTTTGGTCTTCCATCTATAAAACATAATCACTATTGTATAAAACAATATTGTAGTGAATTGACCAAGGCTTTAGAAATAATCTGTTACTTAAAAGAAAGTTCCGATCATGTTCTGACATCTATTCTAAAAATTAAGTAGTCTACATTTAGTTCACTTACCCACACTTAAGTACTTAAGAGCAGCAACAATTATTTTTGTAAAGATGGTATACCTTCATTTTGATTATAATAAAAAATATTACTGTATAACTTAAAACTTTATTTGGTAGGCTAAGCAAGGGTAAAATGGTCTCCCACATGAAGGTCATTTTGCCTCAACATGAAGGGACAATTTGACATCAAAATCTGATTACATATTAAAAACTAATTTACATAAGTGACTTCTGATAATTAGAGATATTCCAACGTATATGAAATAAACAGAAAAAAATGCCTTTTTAAACTACATTAAAAAAATCTACCTACTTTAATTCAAACGCCTAAAACACAATTTTTTTAAGCACGAAATTAGCAATATTACATGTTTTGAATGGGCTCTATTAAAACTAGCCTTTAATGCTAATAATACACTAGGGTGCAAAATTAACCGGACACCCAAATTTTTCCTAAAAACTGGCGTTTAAAAAAGTTTAAGATGTTCCCAATTAAGTATTTATTAAAAAACAAAATTTAAAAGTTTAATTTACCACAACTCAAGAATGTTACATAGAAAAAATACTAAACAATTAAAAAATTTGAAAATCTGCAATTAGACAAAAATTATTATTTTTTAAATATAAACATTTTGTAATGGAAAACGATATTTAGTAGAGTGTATTACCTCCACGATCTACGAGCCCCAATTATGGCTCTCATTCGATCAGGCATACTTCGGATTAAGGCAGCAAAGTCTGACTCTTTAGGGATTTGCTCCCATTCGTCACGAATTGCTTGCTCCAAATCATTTATGGTTTCAAACTCACCATGGTTACGTCGAATACGTCGTTTCTAATTATCCCATGCATGCTCTATTGGATTTAAGTCTGCACTCCTTGGGGGTCATGATAATAAACGAATGCCAACTTCATCAAAGTAATCATGTGTTATTCTTACGATGTGTGGACGAGCATTATATTGCATTACACGAAAGTTTTCTCCAACAAATGGAGTAAATGGCACTACACGATCTTCCAAATATTGCTGAATATACCGTTGAGCCTTGAAATTACCCCCTTGAATTGTAACAAGTTCTGTATGAGCCTCTAGGGAAATGCCTGTCCACACCATTATACCACCTCCACCGAATTGAACTCTCGAAGTAAGACAACATTGCTGGTAAGGTTCACCAGCTCTTCTCCATATGCTAGGCCGCCCATCTCATGAGTACCTGTTAAATCTTGATTCATCCCTAAGAAGCACAGCACTCCAATCGTCAACACCCAAATTAAGATGTTCGCGAGTGAAGCGTAAACGTTTCCTCCGATGATCTGCTGTTAATAGAGGTCCCTTGGCAAGTAATCCACATTTATTTAAGCGTCTTCGAACGGTATCAACAGAAACTGTGTTTCTATGGACATGATTTAATCGTTGAACAAGCACTGGTGCTGATAATGTACAATCGCGTAACGCTTGTAACCTAAGAAAGCGATCTTCAACTTAACTTAAAGTTCTTCGTCTACCTTGATCTGGCCTCCTGGTGTATTGTCCTGTTTCCCGAAATCTTTGTATTGCATTAAACACTGTACTTCGAGAAATTCTCAAAGCATTTGCGACTTAACGAATACTCCGCCCATCATCCTGTAAGGCAACAGCTGGTGCTACTTCTTCCGGTGTCATAACTTTTTTAATGAAAGATTTAAACAGAAGACAATATAAAAAGTTACAGTCGAACTTATAATCAGGTACAGTACCACAATAAACTTAAATAATGCTCATCCACTATTTCACATTAATACCAAAAGGCATGTGTAAAAGTGTTGTTGTTCGCACAAAACATCTAAGCAGGTACAAACAAGAAAAAAAACGTTATCGCTAATATGGCATAAAATACAATTCAAACAAATTAAACAAGTTTTGATCTAAACACCAACAAAAAACAAAAAAAATCTAAGTGTCCGGTTAATTTTGCACCCCAGTATATATATTTACAGCTTCATACATAAGTGGTACTAGTAGTACTGAATATGACAAAGAAAGCTAAATGGCCGTTTTATGAAAATTATGAGAAATATGTCGAGGGAGCATTTTACCGGAGGGGACTATTTTACCCGACTTTCCCCTGTATTATAATATATATTACGATATTGTATTTTGAGGTAACTTAAAGAAAAAAAAATAGTTTATAATTATATTTAAGTTCAATAAATTAATAAAAACAAAAGAATAATATAAATGCCAAATTTTAATTCTGTTGAATAAATTTTATCTAGGTTCCCTAGGTTCTGAAATATACTTACCTTCTAACAGCGTAAAAATATGCAACAGGAATACAAGAAAAATAAAAGAAATGTTAAATAAAAAATATTCAAATATATTTATCAAATGCTCTTGATCCTTTAATTTCATTACATACCTTATTTTTCTTCTTTGAGTACCGTGCCCAAGTTTTAGGTGTGGGTAGCTTACATGACGATTTGCCGATATCGTTCTCGTTCTTGCGCGACATGTAATAATTCATCTGCTGATAATTCATTCCATTGACGAAGGTTTCGGAGCCATAAGTATTTCTTTCTACCAATTCCCCTTCTTCCGTCGATCATTTCGTTAAGTATCAACTCCATTATCCTGTATCTGCTTCTTCTTATTATATGCCCCAGATATTTGAGTTTTCTCTTTTTTATCGTCTGTATTAAATCACCTTTACCTTGACCTACTCTGTTCAAGACTTTTCTGTTTGAAATTTGTTGAACCCATGATATTCTAAGGATTCTACGATATAACCAAATCTCGAAGGCTTCTAATGTGTTCACCATGTTTACCTTCATAATCCAGGTTTTACATCCATACAGTAATACAGGACACACATAACATATTAGAAACCTAATTCTCAGCTGTAAGTTCAGCTGATAAATGCTCAGAATAGATTTAAGTTTCATAAGTTAAGTTTTAATTTCTTCATCCGGATTTAGTGTCTCATTTATCCAACATCTTAGATATTTAAAATTGGTAACTTTTACAATCGGTTCATTATTGATAATTAGTTGTGCAGCGCCGGGATCTTGTTTACTAACCACAAGTAACTTTGTCTTTTTGTATTCATGCTTAGTCCGTTATTAGAGCAATCTCTAGTTACTTGATCTATAAGGAATTGAAGATCTTCAATACTTTTAGCCATGATTGCGGTGTCATCTGCATATCTGATGTTATTAATAGTTTCTCCCCAGATTAGAACTCCAGATTGCCCTTCCAAGGCTTTGTTAAAAAATTTTTCTGAGTAAACGTTAAACAAAGTTGGGAATAACACACAACCCTGTCTAACACCTCTTTTAATACAAATTTTGTCTGTTTCTTTGCCGTCTACGGGAATTGAAGCTTCTTGATTCCAATATAGATGTTTATGTAAAAGTCTTAGATCTTTATGATATATTCCAATTATTTCTAGATATTCAAACAGCCTACCATGTTGAACCCTATCAAACGCCTTGTTAAAATCTATAAAACAGACGTAAATTGGTTTCTGTACTTCCCATGATCGTTGAAGTAGTGTTAGCATTGAGAACAAAGCTTCCCTTGTTCCCAATCCTTCTCTGAAACCGAATTGTTTATTTCCCATTGTGTCTTCACATTTCTGCTTGTGTTCAAGCAAGCAATTTGATTGAACCCAGCCTATGAGAACTGTTCACTCAGGTAGTACGATCGGGTGTAACAATTCATTGGAGCAAGGTGTTTTAACTCGTGTTTAAAATCAGGAATCACCCCACCGTGCTCCAATGCTCTAGACCATCCCTTTCCCCCCTATAGCAATCTGATTCGCTATAGAGGCACAACAATCAGCCAAGTGCTCTTCATGTGGAGGTCCTGGGTAATTGAACCCCAACATGGTTTCCTAACCGTATGTGAAAACTCAGGACAGCGCATCTCCGCTTTATTCCTGTTTATCTTAATGTAGCTTATCCGCGAACTAAAATTGCTTACTTGGGCCTCAAGTCTCCGCTCTGAGTCCCGGCTCAGTTCGGCGACTTGGTGCTCAAGGGGGTTGGGCCCTACGTGCCCGGGTTTAGGGGTTTTTGTTAATTTTTTTGGTGGCCGAAGCCGGTTTTTAGTATTTTTTTGATTTTTTTGGTGGCCGAAGCCGTTTTTTGTAATTTTTTTTGTAGGTCACCACAATATAGACTGTATCCTAGTGTGAGCAACAGGGCCCACTGTGTATGAGGCGATTTGCGATATTCTGGGTGATTTGAGCTACGACCTGTCTTCCTTGTGTGTGTGTGTGTTTTGATTGGTTTTTCTTCTCACTCTGGGCTTTTTGTAATATTTTGTCCCTATTGGGGGGTTTTTTATTTTTCCCTCTGGTTTTGCGTTAATCTAATATTTGTTGTTTTGGTCTTTTGTGCTTCCATCTGTGAAAAGCGTCATACCTCATTATCTCTCGTAGGATGTGACTGGGGTGGTTCTCTAGTTCTGCGAATTTTATCCTAGCTTTTTCTTTCATTGTGTCAGTCACTCTGATTTGATGTAAATCTCTGAAAAGGAATCTTTCAGCTACGTATCTTGGTACGTTTACCGCTTCTCTTAGGCTTTTGTTGTGTTGTGCCTGTATTTTCTTTTTCGTTGTGTTGTATATGTGTCCCCATGCAAGTGATGCGTATGTCAGTATAGGAAGGACTATACTGTTTATTAGCCTTATTTTGGTTTTTATACGTAGTTTCCTTTTTCTTCCCGCTAGGCCTCTTATTGCGGCCCTTGCCATGTTGGCTTTTTGTACTGTGGCTTCTACGTGTTTATTGAAAGTTAGTCCTTTGTCCATTATTACTCCGAGGTATTTTGCTTCGCTTTTCCACTCAATGGGATTGTCTTGCACAGTTACCTGTTCTTCCGGTCGTTCTCGCCTCTTTTGAAAAAGTACAGCTTGTGTCTTGTCTGAATTAATTTTGATTTTCCACTTAAGACTCCATTCTTCAATGTCGTCTAACGCTGTCTGTAGATTGGTGACTGCTATGTCTACATTTCGGTGTTTGGCCGCTATCGCTGTGTCGTCAGCATAGAGACTTAATAATGTACCTGGTGTTCTAGGTATGTCTGCTGTGTATATCGTGTACAGCAGAGGTGACAGTACTGCTCCCTGTGGTACTCCAGCTTCCGGGTTCCCGAGTTCGGACAGGACTTGTCCTATCCGGACTCTGAAACTGCGGTTGCTCAAGTAAGAAGAGATCAGCCTTGTCATTGCTCCGCTGTACCCGTAATCTCTCATTTTCTGCTTGTGTTCTCGGCCGCGACTAGTTCACGTTCGAGACGCATCGCCCCGCCTCTTATTTTTCCCGTTGGCCCTTCCCTGTCCTGGAAATCCCTAATCGCTACTTCAGAAAGTATAAAAATAGGCGATTTTCAGGTCAATCAAGTCAGTCCTTCACGGGCTTTCCGAGAGCTTAGTGCTCTCGGGGCTCTGCTTCTTGTTTTTAGATTTTCCCATACTTAGTCGCTGGAGTTATTATTCAACGTGAATTTTGGTGTTTTATTTCGACCTGCATTATTTTGGTTATTTAAGAAATAACTTGCCTTTATCAAGGCAAGTCACCGAAAGAAGAAAACCTGATGGTTTATTTCGTCGAATATTTTCGTCATGTAAGAAATAACCCGTCTTTTTCAAGACGGGTCCATCAGAAGACAACTTTCACAAGTCCATAACCTGAAAATGGACAAAAGTAGAGGAGCTCACGATGTTTCCGAAGCCCCTCTACAGAGCACACGGTGGTACAGAAGGTGGCAAGACCCTTTTCATTTACCCCGAGGTGACACTTGATTCTATTAAGAATTATCCTAAGGAAGTAGCTTGAGGGAGTGACTCATGAGACTAATTAGTTTTTACATGATGATGTATTAGGTTCTCTTTGGAAGTGGGATAAATGTAAACTCCAACCATACTTGTGGCAGTGTTCCAGTTTCGTATATGTGGTTATAAATGTTTGTTAGTTCTGAGACATTGTCGTCGTCTAGACGTTTGAGCCAGTCTGATGGTAATTGATCAGGGCCTGGACATTTCCCATTTTTTGCTTTGTTTGATGGTTTTCTCTACTTCTGCTTTTAAAATACTAGGACCAGTATTCGTATACTTTGTGGCGTTAAGTGGTGGCTTCGTATCCAGGAAGAGCTCTTTTACGTAGTTGATCCATTTCTTTTTTCGTTTAAGTCAAGAATTGTTTTACCTTTGGAGTTTCCGATAAGGTGAGGAGTTCTTTTTCTCTGAGTGTAGGTAATATTTTTAAGTTTTTGTGTATATTAAACTCGTCCTGTTTTCTTTGTAGTTCTTCCATCTCACGACATCTCTGTTCCATCCAGTCCTCTTTTGATCACTTAACCTCATATCGTATTTGTCGATATATTTCTTTATATCGAGTCTCATCTTTATTTTTACAATTTCTTCTTTGCTAAACGAGGTCTAGTATGTTATCGGTCATCCAATCCTTTTTCTTTACTGGCTCTTTTTCTGATTTTAAAACTTCGTTTGCTATGGTAACCACGGCGGAATTCATTATATCTATATTTTGTCCAATATTTTCATAGCTGTTTCTAGCTGTTTTTTAATTTCATGATTTATCTTATTTCAGAACTCATCTGCTATCACGGCATTTCTTAGGAGTCGATTATTATGTTTTTTTTCTGAGCTGTCCTACCTTATTTATTTATGATTACATGCCTATTGTAGCGTTTACGCTACTGACTAGTCCAATTTAAACCCCTCAAGAAATTTTCTTATAACCCGCCTGTGATCGATTTTTAAATCGACATTTCTCCACACGCGCAGTAGTCGCTTAAAAAGGAAGATTGATCGATTTTGTGCGGAAGCGAAGCGTTTAGTTTTGGTCAGAACTCTACGCAGCCACGTCAACCGGTGAAATTTTTTCACCTTCAAAGTGACGGAATTGGAGCAGAAAAATAATTTGGGGAAGAATAAATTAATTCATAAATAAAATACATATCTTAGTAATAATAATAAGTAAAATTTTTAAATCAATAATCTAAAGAGTTCCACATAAAAGGAAGATTTTTTTGGCGTGCTGCGACTCCATGTAAGTAAATCATTTTATACGTATTATCTCTTTGTCATACAATCAAATTTATCATTGTATTTAGTATTTCTTTAGAGATTTATTTTTGAGTTCCGAAATAATCTAAATATAAAATTTCCCTGATTTACTTGCAAAGAACAGAAGGTCATTTTTTATATAGTTAAACTTAAATTCTATTTTAGTCCATGTCGTTATTATTAAGTTTTTTTTTGGTTCCCAT